AACACTTGGGCATGCGAACGGGAATTTCATCTATTCATTCATTCATTCGTCAGAAAGATGAATAAATGAATAGAAATTTCAAACGAATGAACGAAGACCTCTTTGTTTGTTCGTTTGGTTTATTACAAGGAGGGAGCTACCGGCGTGCAACTCTCTCCTTTTAATATGTAAAAACAGAAGCAGCAGGGACCAGTGATCACCGCCACTTCCTAAGCTCCCATGTCCTTCCTCACTCTATGGGGGTATATGACCCCATAATAGCATAAGGGAGATTAAAATCTCCTGAATGCCCCTACTCGCTATGCTGCGAGTAGGGATATGTTTACTAAACAGTGTGGCTGCTCACTATTAAAAAAAAAAAGCCCCTTAGTGTCCCCCCTCTCAAGCCTCCACCCATTTTCAAATTGAAAGCAACCAAATTCCAAAAAGCTTTCCCACGCTGTGTAAAATGATACAGAACACTCTGATTGGTTGGATTTTAAGCCAACCAATCAGAGTGCTGTGACAGGTTAATTTAGAGACTTACCTGTCAGTCTCTTCATTTACCTGTCAGAGCACTCTGATTGGTTGGCTTGAAATCAACCAATCAGAGTGCTCTAAGTCAAATTCCAGGGTGTGAAAAAAGAAGATTTTAGAAAAAAGAAGACATCAAATGGTGAGTTATTTTTTATTTACAGGTAGTTTTCATGTTACCCTTCACTATTTTTAGGGTAAGTGGGGTAGGTAGGTCTTTATTAAATTTGGGTGGGGGGGTGACTTGGGGACCCCTAGTCACCTGGGGATTTACATTTAACCCCCACCCGTTGCCCATGGGTGTGGGCTGGGGGGAAATATGTCCCCCCCCCATTTTCATTTAGGGCTCCCACCCGCCGCTCATGGGTGGGGCCAGGTGGGAGGACAATAGGTCCCCCCCCATTTTCATTTAGGGCCCCTACCAGCCAGTCATGGGTGGGGGCCAGGGGGTGGACCCTAGAGTTTTTTTGTTGTTTCTTTTATCAACAGTGAGCAGCCACAGACTGCTCACTGTTTAGTAGACATGCCCCAACTCGCAATATAGCGAGTAGGGGCAGAATTTACTAATACTAGATAATCTTTACTTAGTATTAGTAAATTTGACTAAAAGCCCAATTTAGGTCTTTCAGCCTATTGGTATACTGTTGGAATTAGGTAGTTATCTATTGAGCGGTTGCAAGATGTGAATGAAATTCTGATCCAAACAAAGTCCCAAATTGCATCCTAACATGAATAAACAAACTGTTCTCATTCTGTTAGGATGAAATTAATGCAAAATGCAAATGAAATTCTGATCCGAACAAAGTCCCAAATTTCATCCTAACAAGAATAAACAAACTGTTCTCATTCTGTTAGTATGAAATTCTGTAGTTTGTCAGTGTTCTGTCTAAGTGACAGGACATTCTGGAATACTGACAGGAAGCATCGCGAGATAACGCAGGAAAAGGTAAGAATTGTGGGAACATTTCTCTGACCACAGGAAACTGAAAACACTTTGCTCCTCAGCTGGTCAGAGATGGTCAGGCGTAGGAAACCTCCATAAGACAAAATAGTCCCTACTTTGTCTTATGATTTAAAGAAAGCTAGAGCAGACAGGAAGAAATGAAGAACAGATCCTGACAGATGGAGAGAAGAGGAATCGATTGGGGAAAGGTAAGTTCAGCATGACAGTGTCGCTTTAAGGCAGGAAAAGGTTAACTCCAAAGGACATAGCTAGTAGTTATAAAGTGATGTTTTAGCATCACTGGTTCGGTTGCTGATGTTGTGTCAAGATTAAAACATTGTGTCTTCTAGCTGACCTGTCCCACTTAGTCCTGCAATGTAAAACACAGTGACAGCTGCACTCAGAATAAAACATGCTAAAATACTACATGCGGCAGATGCTCCTAATAAAATATTGTAATAAATTTGTCCTAAGTGACTTACAAACTTTAATTAAATGTAGATATAGTCTTGGTTTGTTTTTTTGTGAAT